TTAAGAGCTGGGTTATGTCATGTCTGAATAAACAATGCATTTAATGCGTCTCGATGCCACGTATCGACGTCATCATCAGTTAACAGTCGCGCTGATTGCACCCTACCACTTTTTCAGTCCAAATGTGCAACCTCTCTCCAGTTTCTTGTTGCCTTTACAAATGAGATCAACGATTCGAGAAATTTAGAAGTCCACATAGCATCTAATGACAAATCTGACAAACTGTTATTGCCCAGCTCACAAAAATGGAGTTCAGCTAAACCGTTCGCCTGCGTTGTCCATCCCATCAGCCAAACCAATGAACGATAAACACGGATATCCTGATTTCATGAGAATTTCAAGGTTTCATTTCAAAACGAGATGACAGTGACTCATAGGCACAACCACGTGACCGAACTGTCAGATTCAGCACCTTAATCTGAAAACCATGAAATTCCAGAACTTTACAATTTGCATACCTTTGTTGGCAGAACTTCCGGCGTATCAGCGGCAAAAATTGGAGGAAATGGTCGATTGAGATCGTGGACATGTATTTGCACCTTCGAAGGTTCCACGGCTACGTCTTCTGCCGCATCGTCACGTCTGAAACCTCGTAATTAGTTTAGAAATATTTACTTCGTTCGCTACCGAAGAATGACCAACTTCACCACGGCATCGCTGAGGGCTTTAATGATGCAAGAAGCGTTGAGGTGGCTTCTTCCATGGAGAATTTTGTCATTTACCTGTAACGCAATCAATGATGATAAGGTGAAACACTATTCATTCAATTATAAGCAAATTTAAATTTGAACTGCGAGACACCATGAATAATGCACTTCGAAGTTTCGTTGATTTATAAGGCGATAAATCAATTTGGTTAGGCGCAGTATCTTTCGACTGCGTTACAGTAGAGGAGCCACTCGAATAACGTCATATATTCCGTCTTCAGGAGCATCTGTAAGCTGTAATGTCGAAAGCAATTTTCTCAACGGATGCATGCATATTAAAATAGTTCTTTTGCAAAATTTGGACAAATTTCAGATCGAACTTTGAACAAACCAACATTTATGAATGAGCTGAAACAAATAAATCATAATTTATTGCAAAATAGCAATTTAGTCAAACGTAATAGGGTATCGTCATACGGAAAATCAGATATATTTGGCATAAATGCTCTGAAATGTACTTATTGTGGCTGGTGCGGTCAGGTAAACGCTCAGTTTGATTTCTGAAGCTTAGATGAAGTGAAGGCGAGTCCTCTTCTAGAGTTGCTTGTGGGAGTTATGAGTATATATATATTGCAGCCACAACCTTTGTTAATTTGCTAGTGATGACTGTGAGTTTGGCCTGGCCTGCTCATGACACTCAGATTTCACACAGCTTTAATTGCAAACTGTAATTTGCAGAAGGGCTTGCGGTATACAAGCCACAAGAGTTGCAGTTCTTTGAAAAAATGACATAAACGGTGCCTCAGATGATTACTGCTTTAGTGGTAGAAATTTGACGGAAATAAATAATGATTTAGCGAAAGAAAATGAAATACGATTTTCAATCATAATTATTATGGGCATAAAGAAACTGCATCGGCAAATTTATTTATTCTGCTCAGAGTTGGAGACAACAATCAGTTTGCACATTATCAGCGCAAAATGCCCTAGTAAAAGTGTCGCTGTTGCTCGAAATGTTGGATCAGAGCAAAATCGTTTATTGACGCAGTTTCATTGTGCCCTGTTTGAAAAAGTTGGACCGGAAACATGGAAACTGAGTCAGAATGAGTTTCAAAAAATAAAATTAACTACCTGCAGCACTTCATCACCAACCATCAATTTCTTTTCTAGGAACGCTTCGTACGCTGGACTGTCGGGACAAATGCCAGCAACGAATATTGATAATTTTGAGCGATCTTTATTGCCTGCAAGAATGATGCCCAGTCGTCCGTTTGCCTTTCGTAACGTTACGAACAGAAGCTTTCCAGCCAACTCTTTGAACCTTTCCTCCAAAATAGCTAAAATAGATAATCGATAATTAATAGAGTACAGAATTCATGGCTTTGACGATACCTATTTCAATAATATGTACTTATGAAGCAAATAAATAAAATATACGGTATAAGTATGCCTTGTCAGCACAACGATTTTTAAATAAAATGCACAACTAAAACGGAACATTAGGCGACTGCCTGCACAAAATTAATGTAATAAACCTGCAAATGTTGAGAATATTTCATTGGAATTTGACAGAAACAGGATAAATTCCAGTTAGATTAATCTGTGAAGATAGCTATTATTAATGAACACGCTCTTGGCCTAGAAAACCGTCGCTTTGTTACACCATTGTTAATTTAATTCTTTGCATCAGTTCTATTCTTTAGTTCGTATGGTTTATTGTTTGAGGAGGAAAATATTAAATTAACTAACGATGACAACGAATATGGACGCTTGCAATAAGGTAGCTACATAAATCGACGGTCTATTTTCAGATTATAGCGCGTGTCAGCATGGTGACGAATGCAGATGATCGACAAGAAGACGACGAGAATATGAATCAATAAGGGAACCGCTGCTCTGCCTGAAGGAAGGAGAGAAAAAGCAGTGTAATTATAGCACTTTAGATACGGTTCCACGGATACGATATGACGTGATAGCTCACAGTCAGGAATTCGAACCTCTCTTTAGGCAGAGCGAAAGAGCATGAATTAGATGATGCCTTTGGAGAACTCGTAAATAAAGCGCCAGTGCTTTGGAATTCTGAACCTCCGAGGGTGGAATGTGTTCTGTCAAAGTGTCGAAATCACAGCAGCACGGTGTTCTGGTGGAACCAAGCATGGCTTGTAAAATCATTGTAAATCATTGTAAATGACGTTGCAGTGAAACAGTAGCGATCATCGGGCAAAAGTTACAAAAAGCCAAAGTTTTGACTTTGTTGGTCCATGCGCCAAATTCGAAAGAAGAGCATGAGTCATTCCTGGAGGACAAGAAGGTGCTCTGAATGAAGTGCTGACTACCGAATTCATTATTCTAATGGGCAATTTCAATGCGCATGTCAGAGCAGAGGCTGAAAAGTGGAAAGGCGTGATCAGAATGAATGGTTGTAACCACCTCTACGATATTGGTAAGAAGCTGTTGAGGATTTTATCAGCAACAGACTGTCACTCATCAACACCTTCTTTGAGCATCGAAGCGTTCATCTGTATACATGATATGGGAAAGTTGAGCACAGTGAAAAGCTGGATTTTACGGCGATTTGAATGACCAGTTTTTCTTAGCCTATGTAGATGGCTGGATAAGTAGGCAATGGTAGTTCAGTTGTGCAGTGTTAGATGAGTCTCGCACAAATTTATTAATAAATTCATTCTTATGAAGCGCAGTTGCAACAGGTATAACATCTTCAGGCATCAACAGACTTCTTCGTTATACTAAACATAGCTACAAACTTTATGATAATAGCGGTCTGCATCGAAGAAAATGTTGCCAAATGAAGCCGTGTACAATAATTCTCCTTCTGCTTCTTCTGTTTGCTGAAAATGACGGAGAAGGACGGAATGACATGGGCTGGCTTTGATCATGCCTGTGGTTTCCAAAGGGGATGTAGGCTTTTCCGAAAGTTTGTCATTGATGACCAATGTCTGTTTGCAGTTGCTGACCCAACCCAGCTGTTTAGATGATGATGACTGAGTACATCGCTCAGTCAACTTAGCAATGAAAATGCTACTGCTGCGAGAATTCCTTAGAACTTGTTTTGCGTATTTTTTAAATTTATTTCATATTTAAACACATGTCCCTTTCCAGCAATGAGACAGCATTCGTGGTGAACAAGAGATTGCTGGAACAAGTACAGTGAAGTGTGCAGGTGTGAGGTCGAACGCGTCAAGAACGTTGCTAATTGAAGTGTTTCACTCCATCATAACCAGAAATGGCGGCGTTCATAAGGGTTCGAATCAGAGAATTGCCCAAGAAGCATGCCTTTGGAAAGGTGTGTGATTCTTCAGCTGAAAAAGGAGCAGCTCTTCCCACAGAAATGCCGCTGCACCTTGCCTTTGTTATTTCACTATCATTCATGGAAACAGTTGTTTTAGCGAAGAGGCAAGGACGACCACTACTGCATTGCCTTTGACGCATAAGGTCAGATGGATAGACTACATAGAGAACGACTTTGTTCTGCTCCGGAAGTGATCTCAGTACCTGTGGAGATAAAGAAAAGGATGTTTGCCCTACAAACGTTTTGATCATAAACCATTTACTCCTGTCCACCAGCGCCTCGGGTGGGAGTCGAAACACGGCAAGGGTTGTTCAGAAGGCCAGCGAACAACGTGAGGGAATACGGTAGAGCCAGATATGCGTTGGGAAAAATATTTCTATTTGCAGTACAGTAACCGGGGCGTCAAAATAAAGGTGTTGAAAATCTACGATTATAGCGGAGATCATCAGCCAGGGACTCTCTGTTTATGCAAACGACTGAAGGTAATGATCTCAACAAATAACTAACGATGGATCAATTAGCACATTGCAGCGAACGAACTACTTTTGCTGTTCATACAACAGCGTATAATGAAAGGATTTTCGGCTCCTGAAACGTCGTTCAAAAATAATAAGGAATTGCTGTGGTAAGCAAAATAATACAAGTTTCTTTTTTCTTCCAGGCTAATTAGCTCATAAGCAAGGACAGCTGTAAGATCCAATGGAACACCTTAAGTATTAGCAACTCATGACTCGCCTAAACGGCGTCAAAACAAGGGAGTGCGATGAATACGCAAGTGGGAGGAAATGTAATAACCGAGAAAAAATCCATAAATCGAACTGTTTGCATGACTTCAAATTCTTCGCTTGTATTCATTATTTTGTCTCTGGTGCATCAATTATTTTAACCGATTGTCTATTTTGTTGTTTCATATTCCACACGTTTAGAACATAGTGTTTAGCAAGGGCCTCAAGGCGCCGACAACAGTAGAGCATTTCTTTGACTTTTGTTTGTCCTGCTTTCCTCTTTCGAATTTTGGAGGTTGCAGAGCATTTCAGTCAAGTTCCACAAGCTTCGTATGTCTTCCAGAGCTGAAGCAAGAGCAGGTCTGCGAACTCATGCAGGTCTGCGTCCATTTCCTTGGCGACCAGAAGATACAATGTACAAAGATGATAGAGGACAGCAGATGCTAGAAATCACGAAAAATTTGCAAAAATTCGATTATCATGAATACAGAAAAACTGAGAAGAGGCAACCCTGACATATGTAGAAACTATTTTTTGGCGATATATGCATGTATGTATGTATACATGTATGTATGCATGTATGTATGCATGTGTGTATGTATGTATGCATGTGTGTAGGTATGTACGTATGTATGTATGTATGCATGTATGTATGTATGTACGTATGTATGTATGTATGTATGTATGT